TCAACACCCCCAGGGATGGGGCAGCCACAGCTTCCCTGGGCAACCTGGCCCAGGCTCTCCCCACCCTCACACTCCACAATTCCCTCCTCAGCTCCAACCTCCAGCTCCCTCTCCCACTTTTCATCCCTCCCCCTCATCCCATCCCTCCCTGCCCTTGGCCCAAGTCCCTCCCCAGCTTTCCTGGAGCCCCTTCAGGCCCTGGAAGCTGCTCTAAGGTCTCCCTGGAGCCTTCTCCTCTCCAGGCTCAACACCCCAACTCTCCCAGCCTGGCTTATGGAATCACAGACTGGATTGGGTTGGTGGGACCTTCAAGACCATCCAGTCCCAAACCCCTGCATGGGCAGGGACACCTCCCACCAGCCCAGGTTCCTCCAAGCCCCATCCAACCCACCCTTGGACACTTCCAGGGATGGGAACAGAGGGTCTGGGACTGTCCCAGCTCTGGGCAGGAAATCGTGTGAACATCCCCAAGGTGTTGTCAGAGCAGGGGGTGAGGAGAGACCCCCAACCAGGCTGTTGTGGTGCAGGGAAGGGACACCTGGGATGGGGAACCAGGCTGTGAGCCCCATGGGGAGCAGGTCAGGGGCACGGGTGGGCTTCAGTGGTGACCATATCCCATTCCCAGCTGTGGAGCATCCCTGCTGATCCCTGGCATCCCCCTCCTCTGCTGCAGGATTCCCGCGGTGCCGGGAACAACCCGTCCTTGCCCTTGGAGCACTGGAGCTGCATCTGGAGAGTCCTCCCCAGGGATGGGAAACAGTGGAATGGAGGGTGTATCTGGATGCAGGGCAGAAGCAACGGATCCTGACGGTGGAGAAGGATAAACCACATGGAGCTGTCAAGGGGCACTTTTCCGGGAGAGCCTTTTTCCTGCAGGGAACCCTCACCCTGAACATCAGCCCCGTCAGCCTGGAAGATGCTGGGGAATACAGGGCAGAATTCTTTGACCCCCCAGGCATCGTTGCTACCCAGTGCTTCCGTGTGAAGGTCTGGGGTGAGTAGCTGGGTCCCTTCACCTTGTTCCCCCTCATCCCTCTTGTTCCTCCTCACCTTGTTGTCCCCACAGAACCTGTTCCTCAGCCCCACCTGGAGACACGGGTCCTGCTCCGGGAGCTGGGGCACTGCAACCTGTTCCTGCTCTGCACCTTGCCCGGCACCCAGCACGTCTCCTACAGCTGGTTCTGCTCTGGGGGTCCCTGGGGAGCCCTGGGCCATCAGCCCCAGCTCAACCTGCAGGTTGAGGAGGATGTTGAACCCACCGTGTGTCAGTGCAACGTGAGCAACCCAGTGAGCTGGAGCACGAGCAGCACCGACCTCGGGGCCACCTGTGGGACTGCAGGTAACCCAGGCTGGGACAGGTGGGGTGTCCATCCTGGAGAGGAGGCTCCAGGGAGAGCTTAGAGCAGCTTCCAGTGCCTGAAGGGGCTCCAGGAAAGCTGGGGAGGGACTTGGGCCAAGGGCAGGGAGGGATGGGATGAGGGGGAGGGATGAAAAGTGGGAGAGGGAGCTGGAGGTTGGAGCTGAGGAGGGAATTGTGGAGTGTGAGGGTGGGGAGAGCCTGGGCCAGGTTGCCCAGGGAAGCTGTGGCTGCCCCATCCCTGGGGGTGTTGAAGGGCAGGTTGGATGGGGCTTGGAGCAGCCTGGGCTGATGGGAGGTGTCCCTGCCCATGCAGGGGGGTTGGATCCAGATGGTCTTCAGCTCATGGGATGGTTTGGGTTGGAAGGGACCTTCAGGACCACCTGGATGATCCCCTAGATGATCTTCAAGGTGGTTTTCCCATCCCTGGGGGTGTTGAAGGGCAGGTTGGATGGGGCTTGGAGCAGCCTGGGCTGCTGGGAGGTGTCCCTGCCCATGCAGGGGATGGGACTGGATGAGCTTTAAGGTCCTTCCAACCCATTCCCTGATTCCATGGAAATTCATCTGTGCTGGGGGGCAGCACCTGCTGCCAGGTCCCTGTTCCCATCCAGCTCCAAGAGGAAAAGGACTGGGATGAGCAGGGGAGGGATCACAGCTCTGGGATGACCAGGAGAGGGACCCGAGCCCCAGCTCTGCCCCTGGCTGGTCACACCCAACCCCCTCCAACCCAAACCTTTCCATGACATGACGAATTCACCTTCAGCTCCTCAAAACCAAGATTTAAGAGGGTTCACAAGTCCCAGTGGTTTCCAGTCCCTTCCTGGGACCCTTGGTCTCCCTTCCTGGGTCAGTGAAAACTGCAGAGGACATTGGGCTGACATGAAAATGTACCCAACTTCCCTTGTCCTGGGAAGTGTTCATTGAACCCAGGTGATGAAATTGGGGCTGAGGTTTCCTGGCCAGGTCTGTCCCCTGAGGGCTGTGCTGGAGCTTCTTCTCAGCCCTAGCTCAAGGCTCTGCCCAGTGTTCAAGGTCTCCTCTTCTTCTTCCTCAGGGCATTTCAGCTTCATTCCATATGGGGTAGTGGCCTTGATCCTGGTCATCTCCATAGTTCTCATTGTCTTCTTCTGCTGGTGGTGGAGGAAGAGAGGGAAGAAACCCCCAGGAGGTTTGTCCCCAGGGTTGGGCACCCCCTGCCTCCTGTCACACCCTGTGCTGGCCCTGGGCTTGTCCCTCCTTGGGGGGCTGCTGGGGGGTGGGGGGTGGCTTGTCACTCATGGCATCAGGCCCTGTCACCCCCCTGCCAGGGCACTGGGGCTCTGCCCATCCCCACTGGTGCAGGGTGGTCCAGGTCGATGAGCACCTTGGCTGCCCACACCTGGAGCTGCCCTCCAACCCCTGCCAGGTGCCAACCATCAACCTCCCCGTTGCCCAGGGGCCTCTTTCTCCTCCTGCTTGGCTTGGCTTGAGGGCTCAACCTCCCCCCCCCAAGTCCTGGGGCTCTCACACTGACCTTTCCATCTCCCCCAGAAGACATGGAACAGACCTCGACCATCTACGCTGAGGTGGGCAAAGGCCGAAGCAGCCGAGACCCCGTGAGTGCCAGGGGTGTCCCTGGGGGTCCCCTCCCCGCTCTGCTGGGAGGGATGAGACCCTCTGGAGATGTTTGTTACCTGGGGTTGTGTCCTTTAACCAGCCTGGGCTTTCCTTTCTCCACCAGGATGGCACCAGTGAGGCCACCAGAGGAGAAAGAACCATCTATGCTTCCATCTGCACCGAACCCCAGGTAGGGTCAGTCCCACTGCCAAGACCACACAGTTTTGCCCAAACTTGGCTTTTCTTTGCACACTTTGACCATTTCTCCCTGGCAGGGACCAAGACACCCTCAGGAACCTGAGCTCTCCACCATCTACTCCACAGTTCAGCACAGCAGGAAGGTGAGCTTGCCCAGCTGGGACACAAATCCAGGTCCTCCTGGTTTGGCAACTAAGTTGGGTTCCTCATCCCACCCCTGTGTTGCCTGATGGCAGCTCCTTGTTCTCCTCCACAGTCTTCCTCTGCCAAGAAGAAGAGGCTGGACCCAGCTTTGGTTTCCACTGTCTACACAGAGGTAACATGTGGGGAGATGGACCCTCCAAAGCTCATCAGCTTTTTGAGGGTAAAACTCATCCATTTTCTCCCAGGACACAGGGGGTTATAGACACTGGTGTCCCCCCTTGCAGACACCACGTCCTGTTGGCCACCACCTCTCCTAGTGTTCTTGTCAAGAGCTTCCCATTGGGTTTTTTTTTCTCCTGGACCACCCAGAGACCTTCAGCAGCACCTCCCAGGACCCCACCTGGTCATTCAGGATGAAAACAGCCAGAAATGGGTTTTGTTGTTGGGTTTTTTCCCCCCCCGGATGCAAAGCCCAGCTGAGCCGTGGAGGCTTCTCTATGAAGGAAGGAGGAAAGACTCAAGGATGGAGACCTGGAGATCTCAAGGATGGGGATCTTTGGAGGGGAGAGGTGGGAAATGAGCCAGGAGGGATAACAGGGGAAGAGGATCACCCGTGGTGATGTGTGTTTAGGGCCACGTGTGGTTTTGTGAGCCTTCCTTGGGTCTTGACAGGTTCCATCCAACCTTGTTCAGGTGGGAATAGAAGCTGAAGGGCATGAGGAAGTGGTGGTGCTGGTTTAATTAACTCAATTAGCTGTTTATAGCTTGCAATGTATCCTGGGGTGGGTAGGGAGGGAGTGGGAACTGCCTTGTTTGTGGGTTGGGAACATCTGAAGTGGATGGGGCCTCCTGTGGAGATCATAGAATCCTAGAATCCTAGGGGTTGGAAGGGAACTTGGAAGATCATCTAATCTAACGCCCCTGCCAGAGCAGGGTCACCTAGAGTACATCACACAGGAAAGCATCCAGGTGGGTTGGGAATGTCTCCAGAGAAGGAGACTCCACAACCTCTCTGGGCAGCCTGTTCCAGTGCTCTGTCACTCTCACAGTAAAAAATGTTTTTTGGATATTCATCATATCACTGGTCATCACTGAGAAAAGCCTAACTCCATCTCCCTGACACTCACCCCTTACATATTTGTAAACATTGATGAGGTCACCCCTCAGTCTCCTTTTCTCCAAGCTAAAGAGACCCAGCTCCCTCAGCCTCTCCTCAGAAGGGAGATGTTCCACTCCCTTCATCACCTTTGTAGCTCTGCACTGGACTCTTTCAAGCAGTTCCCTGTCCTTCTGGAACTGAGGGGCCCAGAACTGGACACAATACTCCAGATGCGGCCTCACCAATGCAAAAGGACACATTGCTGGCTCATGGTCATCCTCCTGTCTACCAGGACCCCCAGGTCTCTTTCACCTCCCCTGCTCTCCAGCAGTTCAGCCCCCAACCTGTACTGGTACATGGTGGTGTTCTTCCCCAGATGCAAAACTCTGCACTTCCCCTTGTTGAACATCATGCTTCTCCCCGCCCAACTTTCCAGCCTGTCTAGGTCCCTCTGAATGGCAGCACAGCCTTCTGGTGTGTCAGCCACTCCTCCCAGCTCAGTGTCACCAGCAAACTGGGGGTACATTCTGTACCCTCATCCAGGTCGTTGATGAAGATGTTGAACAACACCGGTCCCAGTACCGACCCCTGAGGGATTCCACTGGTCACACCTCCAACCAGATTCTGCCCCATTGGCTACAACTCTCTGTCTCCTTCCTTTCAACCAGTTCCTGATCCACCACACTACCTGGAGATGGACTTGGCAAGGTTTCAGTGTTGGGTAGGTGGGCATTGGCCTTGGGCAGGACAGTCCCTGAGATGTCACCTGCCCCAGGGATGTCACCACGTCCCTTCCCACTGAAGTCACCCCATGGCACGAGAGGAGAAGGAGGTGGAGAAAGGGCTTCAAAGACTTCCCTGAAGGCAAGATCAAGGGTTGCTCTTTGGGATGAAAATAAAAGGTGGCACTTTGGTGGTGGCTCCACAATGTTCCTGTCCTACCAGAGTCCCTGGATCAAAATGGCTTTGTGGCTGCTCCCTGTGAAACCAGGATGAGTTGGGATAATGAACTGGGAGCTGCTCTGGGGGGTTGGCACAGGAAAATGGGGGTGTCTGGTTGGGCTGATTGATGTCACCCCCAAGGTCCATCCTCTGCTTTTCATGGGTAGGTAGGAGTTGGGTACCTGCACGTGGATGGGGAGGTGGCAAGGTGGGCTGTGATGGTCTGAGTTCAGTGGGAGATGTTCAGGCATGATGGGGAGGATGGAAATCCTTCATCACCAGCACTGGGGATGTGGCAGTAGGATGAGGGGGAAATGGTTTCCAGCTGGAAGAGGGGAGGTTGAGTTGAGATCTTGGGAAGAATTCTTGGCTGTGAAGGTGGGGAGAGCCTGGGCCAGGTTGGCCAGGGAAGCTGTGGCTGCCCCATCCCTGGGGGTGTTGAAGGGCAGGTTGGATGGGGCTTGGAGCAGCCTGGGCTGCTGGGAGGTGTCCCTGCCCATGCAGGGGGTTGGATCTGGATGATCTTGAAGGTCCCTCCAACCCAAACCTTCCATAGTTTTCCATGCAGGGGGTGGGACTGGATGGGCATGAGGTCATGGAATGATTTGGGTTGGAAGGGACCTTAAGGACTACCTGGATGATCCCCTAGATGATCTTCAAGGTGGCTGCTCCATCCCTGGAAGTGTTGAAGGATCTAATGTGGGGTTTGGAGCAGCCTGGGCTGGTGGGAGGTGTCCCTGCCCATACAGGGGTTGGATCCAGATGATCTTTCCAACCCAAACCCCTCTGGGATCCTCCGAAGCCCGTGCTGTGCTCCCAGCAGCCTCCAAGCAAGGCAGAAGCTTCTAATGAAGGGTTTTAATGAAGGCCTGGGATTCCATCCTGAGAGACACTTCAGGCCCCTTTGTTCAGCACCAGCTGAGGGACGTGGGGGGCTGGGAACCCCCCCCTCCCCCTCTCTGGGGACAACAGCAAAGGCCACTGGCGTCTTACGGGCTGGGAACAAAGGGGAACGGTGACACCTGCTGGGCCCTGACCCACTTTGAGTTCACATCCCCCCCGAGATGTCCCCCATCCACTGGGGAGACCTTCAGGCTGGGAGCTGCCAGGCCCAGCAGCCACGCTGGGATGTGGCCGCATCTGTGACACCGACCCGGGGACACCGAGAGGCCCCGGAGCTGCTGGAAACCGTTTGGAGATGGGGGGAGAGGAAAGTTCCTCAGCAGGGAGCAAAGTGCTGCCTCAGCCAGGGCTGCAAATTCTCTCCCATATGCAAAAGAGGCTCACTAGCATAAATTACAGGGCGGTGGTAGAGTGTGGAGCCCGTGGATGCAGCAGCTACCGGCGCTGGT